AATTATTTTTTTTTTTGATCTCCCATCCTGAGGGCTGAGCCAGGTTGGGGAATCATTCACACACACCGGGCTGCGCCTCTGCCGCTCCGGGGAGCCGAGCCAGCCCCGCTCTGCTCTGCGCCTCTCCCCTCTGTCCCCTGTGCATCCTCCGCGGGCTGGGCGGGAGCTTCGCGGGCTCCAGGTGAAACCCCTTCCCTAGAGCAATGGTGAAAGCATTCATTCCCCCAAACAAGAAATATGCGATCTCCTTCTTCCCTTTCCCCTCCTCCGCTCGAGGGAAGATGTCAGAGGGTTAAAATGTCCTGCTCGCCCTCTCCCTTGATCTCGGGGAGAGAGGTAAGAGTTGCTGGCACCTTTATGGGACTCAGACCTGCGGCGGCTGCGGGAAGCGTCGGCCCCCGCTAACTTTGATCGGCCTTATTCATCCCAGCTGCGCTCTATTTGTTTGTCATTTCGCCTTTTTACTCCCCGAATCGTTATTTATGGTCTGAAAAGTGAAACGCGCGGTGATTTGCCTTTACATGGACTCTTTGCAAACGGGGGTAGACACCTCCTCCCCTCCCCCTCCCCGCGAGGGGGGGCTGCCAAAAGAGAGGGGGGAAAAAACCTGTCTCAATCATTATCAAATCAGCTTTGAATTCATTACTCCAGAGCATTAACTAATTACCAGATCAGAGAGAAGAAAAAATAAATATCCCTTTAAATAACTGAAGGTAATTATAACCCTGTTGTTGACACTAACGTTTAATAATTGATCAGAAGTTATACACAATAAATTGTCAATTTATCTCCCTATAAAAATGCACATACTTATTTTTATTTTACTTCCTAGGCATTCTTTAAGAGCCCGAGCAGCAACAATATCCACACAGCCGCCGAACAAGGAGCAATAAGATTTTTTTTTTTTATTTTTGTCTCCTGCACAAATATTCGGGAGTATTTTGAAATCCCCCGTCACGGAGGACACAAGACGGAGTGGAAAAGTGACTTTTTCTGCCTGTGTGCTTTCCTGCCTTTCCGAGACCAGCAGGGCAGGGGTGGCACCTCCCACCCTCAATCCCTAAATCCCGAAAGGATCCAGGTTCACGGTGACCACCCCCGGGGCCGAGTGGCCACGTCCCTCTGTCCCTTACTCTGCTCTAGGAAAATGCAGCCGTCTCGGTGGGGATTGGATGTGAAATGGTGACATTATTCCATGAGTCACGGCTAGGGAGGGGGGCACGGGTCCAGGCTGGGGGAGCGGGGCTGTCACCTGGGGCAGGGCGCTCATAGGTAAAGCACTCCCCCAGAGCCCGCCTGCCTGCAGCTCCCAGCTACCTGTGTGCCGGCGTGTCCCGGACCGCGCTTTCCCTCTGTACTTTCAATAAACACTCTGCTTCAGAGACGCCGAATAATAATCAGGGATTAGATGCATGGGTGCTTTGACTATGCGCTATGGATCCCTTTGTTTTTAACTTTTATTTCCCCCCCCCCTCGCTTTTATTCCTTTAGAAGCTGGTAACATACCTAAGTTATTAGTTACTGGATTAAAAACAAAGGGATGCACATCACATTACTTAATGTGGAGTATTACTCTAATAACAGTATTTTTTTACCATCATTATTCAGTTCCTACAATGGAAAAGCTCTTTTCGACTACCTGGATCGTGGGAAGGTTGCCTAAGTACCCGAGATATGTCTGAATGAAGAAGGCAAAGAATAGATCGACTTATATATAAATTCTGTCTGGGGTTTATTTTGGTGCGATGGCTTTTGTTGGGTTTTCTTTTGGGAGGGTTGTTTGTTTTTGACCGGTCGTGTTTTTTGTTTGTTGTTTTGTTGGTTTTTGGTTTTGTTTTTTTTTTTTGTGGGGGTGAGGTGAGGTTGGAGGGAGGGGTGGTTTGTTTCAAAAGTTAATAAGCAATAAAACCCTCCCGGTATTGATTACTGCCGGGTCTCTCAGACGAGCACTGAACCGCCTTCAAGTGAGATGTAACATGTGACGGGGCCAGAAACTTTCAGTGGTGACAGGGTTGCGTTTTTTTCCCGTGAGGATGGACACGGCGAGGCCAGCGCGGAGGGGAGCGGGCCGGGCCGGGCCGGGCTGGCTGTGTCCGCT